AATTAAAATTTTACTGAGCATGTGATCTCATTCTGTGTACACAAGACAATCCCGCACACCTCCAAGCAGCTGCCAATCTAGAGAGATGTTTCATCAGTTTTCAACTACCACAGAATCTGACAAGGTGTGTTAACTCTGACCTCAGCTCAGTCTCTGCCCTTATTCCTAGTGCTCATATGCTCACATACTCTTACACACAGAATATGCATGAAGGCAGAGAAGCCAGTTCTGGCATACTGTCAAAAACATGTTACAAACTCCACATTTTCAGCAGCTATCCTAAAACAAGAAAGTGATATTCTATGAAGGATTTAGTTTTATAATATTATAGTATGGAGAAAAAAGTATTAGAGAAATAATTTTATGAGTATTTTAGAAATAAAAGATTGAAATTCTAAGCCTAAGAGAGCTTAAGCTAAACTATATTTCTCTAGCATGAGAATACAGGAATACATATTTAAGATCAAAAAACCAGTAAATCTCATAAGAACTTAAAATGTTAATGATCAGGGACTATTCTTAAGATATTAGGTACCATGGTAGCGTGCTAATGTCTTTAAGTGCTGCCTTATTCTGGTCTAGCTGGTGGGCTTTTACTTTTCTTGGATGGATTTTAACTAAATAGACTTTAGACGTTTGGATATAGATAAATGCTGAATTCAGTAATTAGTATTTTAAAACTGTGAAACCTTTTAAGTTAAGTGGTCTATTAATTAACTACCAATTATCTTGTCTGACTACCATATCAATAGAAGTAAATTACTGACTAGCTATCTGACAGATTTAGTTCTTTACCATGGAAAATTTCTTCTGCACATAAAAGGCCTGGGGTTGAATGCTTTTACTTTCCTCTTTTGGTTAATCAGGGATCAGTTTGCCATTTTGATAAAAGCCAAACACAGTCCCTTGGTCAAAAAGGACCTACAGATAAACTCTAGTTCAGAAACAAACAGATTCTACTCCTGCTCCAGAAAACAGTAAGTAAAGCTAAGTTAGTTATTTTGGGGAAGTATGAGATTGCAGTCACTGTATGCAGGCCCAGCTTCTATGTCACTTGGTAGAACAGAGGTGTGTTTTCAAGTTCTTGCCTCTCACTGAGACAATGATTTCCATGCAAAGGTGCACCTGTTCTCAGTGGTCTTGTTCCACAGCTCACTAAAGCCTATCCTGCATCATTCATTTCCTGACTGGTGACTAGAAGGTTCCTGGAAGATCTGCTAGGCACAAAATGACTCTAAAAGTTAATGTCAATGCTGACCAGAGGGCTGTGCCAAATATAAGAGGCGGCTGAAAAGCCTTCCAAGTCTGCCAAGTGTACTTGGCTCAGAAGGACACACGCCACTGCAAATACAGGTTTCTCTTCTGGAGGCCTGGGCCACAGGGAAAATGAATGATCACTACTGTGCATTCAGTCTGAGTCTGATTCACACTGGCCTACAACAGCTCTCCTCTAAAAGCTTGAGCCTTACACCAAGTAGAAGGCATAGAACACTAACGAAAGATGAGTACGAATGGGGCAAGAGGTATCAAAGATCTGGGTAGTAATCAAAGGGATATTCAAATAATGAATGAAGCCAACTCTGACTTGAAGTCTTGACAGCTTTAGTCCAGCATGATGTTTCTCTTTCTAGAATTCACAGCATGGACCCAAGTGAGTACTTGCTGAATAGGTTATCTTCTAAATATTTAGGCAGAAGCCCATTACATATGATCATATGATCAAATACTTCTCAACTAAGAATACAGCTCCAGGGTTGTGTGTGTTGTATATGTGTGTTGTGTGTGTGTGTTTGTGTTGTGTGTGTGCTATTTGTGTATGTGTGTGTGTGTGTGTGTGTGTAGGAGTTCCGGTATAACAAACTGTCTGTCATCAGACAGTTTATCATCAACTTTGCTATGTAGATAATTATCCCCCCAAAGCACTTCTTATGCACCAAAGGACAAAATATGGCACAAAAAGTTGGTAGAAGTGGAAAAACAAACAACAAAAAGTTTTATATAATCCACTTAACTGCATCTTCATTGAAAAGTAAAGGTTGAGGCTGTGTTGTAGCTCAGGAGTAAAGTGTTTACCTGGCATGTGCAGGGACCAGAGGACAGGGTGTTAAATAAGACAGTCCTAAGGCTCCTTACAGTCCCCAAATTCAAGAATATCAGTAAGGCAGGGGTTGGAAGGGAAGCTTACATCACCATCTTGAAATAGACCTTAAGAGGAGAAGTGGGGGAGGAAGAGGGAATTCTGGGCAGTAAGAGGGGGGCATAAAAGCAGTAGCTGGGGCCTGGAGGGTACCTCTAGAGTGGAAGTCACGTGCTATTCTAGTTCATTCTAAATGAACATGACTTGAACTCTGAGTCAGGATCAACACACAACTTGTTATTCTATGAAAACAGACACTGACTGCTACTTAAAAGTCTGTCTCAAGATGATCTGTGCAAATAGTTGAACACACTCCCTCTTCAGCGAATCCACAATTTTGACTGATGGGGCAACTTCTTTTCCCCACCAGGCACAGGCAAGAGGCACACTGGTCATTTTCTTCTGAAACAAGAAAGGTGGAAGCCATCTTTGAAAACATACCACTAGCACTTTCAACTAAGAAAGACTAGAAGGGAAGGTAGATGTGAGTGCTACTCAGCAACACCACGTAACCCTACAGCAGCTGCCTGAAGGGAAAACAGCCTTCCTTCATGCTCTAGTTGCTAACTCCCAACTTCTCCAAAGGTTTCTTAAGTCTTGGCAAGAAGTCAGAAATTCCAATGCTAAAATGAATTTTCTGACTCAATATTGAAAATAAAATCTTAAGTTTAGATGCTTAGGGGAAAAACAGCTGGAGAATTCAGGAGCCTCCCATAGTTTAATACAAAGTGATGTCATTAGCAACCAGGCTTCCAAGAACTCCCTAAATTGTATGGTTAAGCAACTTCTCCAAGCTCAGTAAGAAGGGTAGGAAGGTGCAGCTCACCCTTGGTACATGATCCAGAGTAAGAGCTAATGCAAGTTCTTCCTTATGTTAGAATGCGGCCCAACAATGAACTTGTACAACCTGCATCCATTCACAGGAAGCTGTGAATTTTCTTTCTTAACACTCTAAATCAGCACTTATTTCAAGATTTGCTACTCTTCTGTGGTATTTAACTGAAGGTTGTATGGTTTCTTTAAAAACCTGGATATATTTACATTTTTATAAGCTATGAAAATAATTTTTCAGAGAACAGTCAAGATGGTGAAACTTGAAGGAAGTTAGTGAGAGTAAAAGTTCACACTTAGGAAACCTTGCACCACCTCAGTAAAAGGTTATTGAGGAGGAAAAAAAAAATCAATCTCTCTGGCTCGTACTAATCTTCCAATGGTTGTGTAGGTTTTTAAGACTGACAAGTCAACTGGAATCAACTGGAATTTCTGTGGCAGCTCAACCACATTTCAAAAATGGAAGCTATACTCTACCTGTGACTTGTTTGTTTTGGAGACAGGTTCTTGCTATTGTAGCCCTGGAATTCACTATGTTACCAGGCTAACCTTGACTCATATAGATCCAGCTGCCTCTGTCTCCTGAGTGCTGAGGTTAAGGGTGTGTGTGGCCCTGTCTGGCCCAGGCATGGGACAGGTCCACTATTTTTGTTCAGAATTATAAACATATCATATTGTTGATGAGTTGTCTTGCTGGGTCCGTTCAGTTGGACTTCACTCAGCCATGTCAGTGCTGTGACACTTAATGACTGTTCTCACAGCAGCAAAAGGCTTGTGTTTGTTCACAGCCACCGCACACTGAGTACATTCGTGTGCTTGTTCCTCCAAACTATGTATGGTGATCTCCTTATTCATTTAAAAAAAAAAACCTTCCTTGATGAACGTAGTCATATGTTTATTTCTAGAAGGTTGAAAATAAACTATATAAAGTTTGTGTTTCCAAATAAAACATTTGGATAAGCTTCACCCAGGACCAGAGAAGAGGTCTGATGCTGGATAAGCAACACCTTAATACTTCTGAAGCCAGATTAAGTTTTTAAGCAGTTGCTAAAAAATTAATAAGCTTTAATGTGACCTATTTAGGAAAAACAGTTATTTGTTGAGTTCTGTGAGAAGATATCTCTTCCTATTGGGAGTATAATTCTATCTCCCTACTCTCTCTTCCTCTGCTCCTTAGTGCTAGGAATATAACCCAAGGCATGCACATGCTTGGTTAGCACTGAGCCAGTGAGCTACCTCATTTATCCCCTTTAGTAGATTATTTTTGACTATATAAGTAAAGGGAAAATTTTTAAAAAGTATAAAATTGATCAACACTGCATGCACAGAATTAAGAGGTGAAATGTCATGTCTACCTTTCCTGACAATTTAGCTAAAACGCTGGTGTTATGGTAGCCCTCTGGGAACAGAAGACCCTCCCTATCCCTGGATGCTGCAGGAGCTCCAAGAGCTAATAGGCAAACAAAGTCTGAGTCCCTGGCTCACCAGGCCTCATAAATCCCCTGTCTGTAGTCCTTTCAAGATGACTACTCATTCCAGAGATACTGGGTAAGCCTACGAAGTTCTGAGATGCCCACTATCTGAACAATGTGGTTGGCTGGTAGATGTTAAGTAGCTGCCAGGGTGGCCTGACCACTCCCAATGAACCACAGATGCTGATCTCAGAATGTCTGGGACTTTCTAAAATGTGGCTGAGCAGTAGTTTGGAAGGCTAACCCCTGACTTTACGAATTCATAAGAACCAGGGTTTTATAAACTCAACAGAAAGCTAAATAAACAAAGCCAGGGCTTATACTCCCACTTGTTATTTTTGCAGCAATCTTTCAAACTAGTTCCCATAGTCAATTTCTGCCTTCTTAAGAAAAATACTGAAGGGGAACAGTATAAAATACCGCCAGACACTGTAACCCACCACGCGTGAACAGCTCACTAGATAGGGCATCATGCAGACGATTCAGATGGCTTTCATGCTGGCTTCCTGCCTTTTCATTGAGGAGGGCCGGGGAATAAAAACAAAGATGTTTATATTTACCCAGAAGTGTGCGTGGCAGTTGACCATCATGGTTCTCTCAATGAGCTCATCAGGACATTCCAGAAGGTGATGTCCAGAAACCACACCAGCATTATTGACCAGGACCGAGACCTCGCCAACCTCCTTGCGGACCCTTTCAGCTGTCAGGTAGACATTCTCTCTTTTCCCCACGTCACAAGTGTAGGTAAAAACCTGTAAGTTACATGGGGGCAGGATTTCCTCCTCACCGTTCCCAGCTGCCTCGGAAGTCCAGATGAGGGGGGAATGCAAGAAAGAAGGGGTGCAGAAAGTGAGCTACAAGGCAGTCAGTAGGACAAAAAATCATACAAAATACTACAGTGAGCTTCAAATTTCTAACACTGTAATGCTTGCCATTAATTCAGCTTACAGCTGCCTTCCTCCCCTGAAAGTCTTTGGGAATTACAGCAATTTACTAGACAACCTTGCTTAGGGGAAAGTCATGTAATTGTGGCAAGTCCAGTACAAGTAGACCACATGGGATCAACTTGCTGGAGCTAGACACCTGCAAAGAACTGATCTCAGCCCAGAGAACAACACACATTACACATTCCTGTTTGCAGATGGGGGTGGGGAGGAAGCTGCTGGCTAGAGAGAGCTCTGCCCTCAAAACAGAAATTCACTTTAAGGCTCACAAATCCAAACTGTAAGCAACAATCTGAACTCATTCAAAGCCAAGGAATGAAGGAACAGTTTCCAATGAAAGAATGCAGGTCACTGGTTTAATTTTAAACTGATTCCCATCAGAATTAATCTCACAGATGAAGTTTAGAGGTTAATAATATGCAAGTGCACTACATTTAGAGTCCAAACAGCATTAAAATCAAAATTCCTTCCCCAAAGCATTGCTTTCTTTTAGGGTTGGGAGTACAAATGAACAAATTTGTTGCCTCTCCACATTAGCTTTGAAAATGTAACATTTTGAACCTTACATAAAAAACACAGCTTCCGGTAAGTTTGGTAACAAATGACAGGTATAGAAGAGAGTGGAGCCCGAGTCAACCTAGCCATCAATTTTCCTGGACCAGTATCTATAGTGGATCATGATCTCCACTTAGGCTTTAAAAAAGTTTCAGACGCAAGCTAATAATTGTTAAGCACATAAGATGCAGATTGGGGTGCCTCTGAACCATGAGAGAATTTTACAAAAGGCAGAAATCATTGAGGCACTTTCTCAAGAAGAAGGAAAGCACTCTCATTTACTCAGGGTTGATAACTAAAGCACTTACTTAATGCTGGGGAAACAATGTAATTGTTTTCCAGGAGCTAAAGTTACGGTGAAAGGATCTATAGAACCCAGGTCTAAGCCGCTCAGACCTCACAGAAACAGATAAGTGCTTCAGTCCACTGTGGAAACAACTTCCCAAAGACTCTAGCTTCCCATTAAGCCACATGCAAGTCAGACTGAGAAACTGCTTTCGGATCCAAACCTGTGCAAGTTCCTTCCCCCTGTCTTACACTACTCGTAGAGTTTTAGGAAACCCCAGCTTGGGGCCAAAGACATAAGATCTATGTTTGGCACGCTTTCAGTCTTCTAACACAGAAAATCATGATCTCTTATCAAGGGGCAAATTCCACTCGCCTTCCAGAAGACCAGCGGGGTGTTCCTTTCCTGGAGAGCCACGCTGCCCATGACAGTGGGCAGTGGAGACCCTCCGGGGTGGGGAGATGTTTGACCCAACAATGCACAGGCAGTTAGTTACCTTGCAGAGCAGCGGCGTCCGCCGCCTCCAGGTCCCGGTAGATGTGGCGAACCATGCCTGCGGTCTCTTCATTGCTCTGCGTGTTGATGTCCCAGAGAACCAGCAGCGCCCGGCGCCGGGCAAACTCCAGAGCAAAGAGGCGGCCCAGGCCGCTGCCCGCGCCCGTGATGAGGCATACCTGGCCGGCCACGCTCTTCTCCTTGGGCCGCACCAGCCAGCGCGCCGCGGCCAGCACGAACGCCCACAGCACTTTGAAAGTGACCACGAAGAACTCCACCACGATGTTCATCGCGACGCCTCGGGCCCCGCACGAGCCCAGCACCGTGTCCTCACCCTCCTCGCGCCAGACAGCCCAGCTCCTGGCCCCGGGGGCGCTTGTCACCGCGATCCGGACGCGAAGGCTGCGCCCCGAGTCCGCCCCCGAGGTGCTGCGGGGCTGAAGTGCGCGGGGCCAGTCCCGCCCGGGCTCGGTGTAGTGGCCACGGGCTGTGCTTGCCTCTGCAGCCTCCCGGCTCGGCGCCTCCTGCTGGCCGCCGCCTGCTTGTCCCGCAGCGCCCGGCCGTCCGGTCCCACTGCAGCGGCGGTGACAGCCGCGAGTTAGGCGACGCGCACTGCCCTCATGGCCAAGCCCCCGAACGTCCCCGGCGCTGCTACAGCGGCTCCCTGTCCTCCTAGGGCAGGGGTGCGCCGAGCGGGTGCCTCGGGTCGCCGGAGTTGTCAACTTGACTCAAGTTGCGGGAGGGTGCGGGCAGCGCCGTGAAAGGGCGACTTGCGGGGCGCACGCGAGGGCTGCCAACCGCTCGAGCTGCCAGCGCGGCTCGGGTCCTCTGCCTTGCACTCGCGCCGCTGTCACTCGGGCACCGGGCTCCACAGCGTAGCTACGCCCGCGAGTCGGAGCGTTCCCAGCCGGCTCTGAGGTAGCTCCACACTCGGCGCTATATAACCCACCGCCGGGAAGCGCCGGACGCTGCAGTGGCATCGGCCCTCCCTCGGCTCGGCCCTCCCCGCCCCTGGGCGCACCCCGCCCCCGGCCCAGCCCCCCCCTCCCTGCAGCCCGCCGGCCGCCCCACCGCGCGGGGCAGCCCCTCTCCCACGACCGTGGCCGAAGGCTCCCCGCCCTCGTCGCGCCTCTCTTTGCGGCTCACGCCCCCTGCTGTGGGTCGCCGTGGCTTGCGCCTGTCGAGTCCCGCAGCAGAGAAACCCCCCATCCTCCTCCGACCGTTCGGTCATCGCTCTTCCCGGTCTCGCCCCTTTCGCCAAACGAGGGACTGTGGACCCCGCGGCCGGCAATCAGGCGCTGCGGAAGACAGCCCGGCAGTCGGGCGAAAAAGGACCTCGGCAGCTCAGCCGAGGTGGGGGAGCAGGGCAGCGTGGCCACGGGCCGCAGAGAGCCCGAGATGACCGACAGTGATTTCAAATCTCAGCTAGCCGCTGGGGACGTGAAGCCTTAGACTCTAGTGAGCCTAACAGGAATCACGGCCGCGAAGGCTGCCCAGAGTGTCGGTCAACATCGCCCTCCAGCCCCGCGGGTTATGGAGTGATGCATGCTGGGACTTGTAGTTCACGCCCATGGATGTGTCTTTAGGATCCAACGATTCCTCAGAGCTGGTCGCTAAGGTTGTCAACGCAACCTGGGGAATTGAGCCCAGAGCTAACAAGGTGTCCCCGTTCTAGTCATTAAAAAAAAAAAAATGTGCTCCATGCATTTGTTTTCTAATGAGTTTTACCATAAAGTTGATTGGCCGTGACTAAGCCCAACTGTTGTTAATTTTGCGCCTGCAAAGTGAGTTCTCAATTCTAGATTATTTTCCGGCTTATCTCAGGACAGCTATAAGGCGTGGGTCTTCGCGCTCGCAGACCTTTAAGGAGACTGCGCATGCGCCACCTTTCTCTCCTTTTCCGGCTGGAACCATGGAGGCTGTTCCGTAAGTCGATTCTCCTCTTCCTAGAATCCTTCTCCATCCCCGAAACTAAAGGCATTTTGTCTCACTTTTCTTGTGTCTGAATGTAGCCTGAACCACTGCCTGCCTGTTTGGGTGTTTGTGACGCTGTGATACTAGGAGGGGGTGCGGGTGGCCTACGCGCGGAGGCCTAGGCAATACCAGGGCAAGCTGAGGGCAGACTGCGGATCTGGCTACTTGGGCGGAGGTCCATTCTTCGGTAGAATGTATACCCCGGAGTCTTGGAAGGAGATCCTTTGTGGCTGCCAACCGGCAGCTCCTTCAGCATGTGGAACTTGATTTGGACAAGGATAGTTGACTCCTGGAACACTAAAAATTAATGTGTAATAACAATTTCTTAAGTGTGAGTTACCAGCTTGTATTACAGGCCAGGATTGATGACCGGGAATAAGCATAAATCTTTTTTGGTTTTTCGAGACAGGGTTTCTCTGTGTAGCCCTGGCTGTCCTGGAACTCACTCTGTAGACCAGGCTAGCCTCGAACTCAGAAATCCGCCTGCCTCTGCCTCCCAAGTGCTGGGATTAAAGGCGTGTGCCACCATTGCCCGGCAAGCATAAATGTCTCTAGTGCCACATGTGTTTACCTTTAAGTGCGGTGTGTAGCTATGAGCATGAACTCTGCATCTGCAGTAGAGCATGCGGGAGCGACGAAGATGCTGCTGGTTAGAGTGGGTGACAGTTTTAACAACGTACTACTGAGCACCTAGTGTGTGTGATACATCACCAGGAGGTTTTCTTGACATACTAACAATATCCTCTACTAACGACAGAGAGAAGAAAAAGAAGGTTGCCGGTGTGCCAGAAACCCATAAGAAAAAGGTTCCTACTGTGCCAAAAACTCTTAAGAAGAAGGTTCCGGCTGTGCCAGAAACCCTTAAGAAAAAGCGAAGGAATTTCGCAGAGTTGAAGGTGAAGCGTCTGAGGAAGACGTTTGCCCTGAAGACAGTAAGTGAACTTTGGAGCCCTTAGTGGGCTAGGGAGCTTATTGGGACTGAGAGTGGTGGAATAAGACTAATAATACTGATAGAACAGATTATCTGACTGCTAAAGAGAGCTTCCTGGTGTGGCATTCTCAAATGTCTGCCAAGGCAAGACACTTTTATGGAACTGATGCTGCGCTCTGTTTTAGAGCTAAGTATTACGGATAATAACTGGCTGTTGGTTTTTCAGCTCCGAAAGGCAAGGAGGAAGCTCATCTATGAGAAGGCAAAGCACTATCACAAGGAGTACAGGCAGATGTACCGGACTGAGATTCGGATGGCCCGGATGGCAAGGAAAGCTGGGAACTTCTATGTGCCTGCAGAACCAAAATTGGCGTTTGTCATCAGAATCCGAGGGTGAGTTCACTTTGTATGGTGTTCTGGGAGTGGTGGTGCTGAGGAGTTGACTGTAGTGTGGCTGCAGTTAGGAAGGGGGCCGGGAATTATTGCTGGGGGAGTATTTGTGAAACCTGTGCCTAAGCTGTCTGCTCTGATTGCATGGTAGTTCAGTGTCCTGCAGTTGTCTAAGAGCTTAAAAACAATATAGTTAGTTATTGGAACAAAGATGTCTACAGAAATAAATAAATTCAGTCATCTTTTATTGTATAACAGTGAGGAATCAAAAGATGGGAGGCAAGCTGGTGGTAGTGACTCACACATACTGTGTGGTGGGTTAGCTTTCTGTTAAATAAAATCACGGTAAAAGTGGGTGAATCTTTGGTCTCTTCGTTCAGCATCAATGGAGTAAGCCCAAAGGTCCGCAAGGTACTGCAGCTCCTTCGTCTTCGACAGATCTTCAATGGCACCTTTGTTAAGCTCAACAAGGCTTCCATTAACATGCTGAGGATCGTGGAACCGTACATTGCATGGGGGTGAGTTTTCAGTTTAGTACGTTAGCTTCGTGTGAGATGACTGTAGACACGTCCTAGCTCACTTACCTGATTTTCCTGTTACAGGTACCCCAACCTGAAGTCAGTAAATGAGCTCATCTACAAGCGAGGCTATGGCAAAATCAATAAGAAGCGGATTGCCTTGACGGATAATTCCTTGATTGCTCGGTCTCTTGGTAAGTTATGCTTTTTTTCAGAGAGGGATGTTTTCTGACCACACTTTTTTTCTTACACTTTTATTTTATGCATGTGGGTGGTGGCCCAAACGACACACTGGGGCTAGATTCTCCCTAAAGTCCAGAGTTGCATTCCAGCATAGCTATCTGTTCTGTCTGTCTGTGTGCTGGGATTACAATCAGGCTGTGTAATCCCACTTTGTCTTAGGTTGGGGCTTGGGTCATTGGGTCTGAACTCTAGGCGTTACTCTTGTGCAACAAGCACTTCCATCTCCTGAGCCATTCCTAGCCTGGCCTCACTTACGACAAATCAATACTTGTCCCCTAAATCCTTAATGCTTTTAAGAAAAGAGCTTTGTATACTTTTGAGACAAAATTTCTCTGCATCTGGCCTGGATTCACATCGCCTTTGTCCACCTCCCACCTGATAGGATTAAAGGCGTATGCCACCACACCTGGCTTATCTTTGTTTGATAGTTAAAACTGCCCATGATTGTGTTTAGAAGAATTTTAAAAACTTGATCTTGGACTCAAATTTTTTCAGGTAAATTTGGCATCATCTGCATGGAGGATCTAATTCATGAGATCTATACAGTTGGGAAACGCTTCAAGGAAGCAAATAACTTCCTGTGGCCTTTCAAACTATCTTCCCCACGAGGTGGAATGAAGAAGAAGACAACTCACTTTGTAGAAGGTGGAGACGCTGGCAACAGGGAAGACCAGATCAACAGGCTTATTAGACGGATGAACTAAGGTGAGACAGTTTTGGTTTGTTTTTTGTTGTTGTTTTGATTTTTTTAAGACAGAACCTACATATTTCTGGCAATCACAAAACTTTCTGTGTAGTCTAACCTTTGTTCACAAGACCTTGATTGAAGGCTTTTCTGTTGAATGCTGATTTGTTGTGTCATTTATAACTCCGGGATATCTGTCTTTAATGAAAGTATGCTCCTTTACAACTGATGCTGACTTGTAACTTGGAGGACAGTCTCTAACTTGTGTGTTTTTCCCTTTCAGGTGTTGCCCGTGGTATTTTTGTAATCTGGTCAGTTAATAAACAGTCACAGCTTGGCAAATTTGAAATGTGTTGGAGTCTTTGTTGGCCTGCCTCTGGCCTGCTTACCATTCTAGTGGCTAATCCTCAAGTGTTCAGTCAGATCAACAGCCTATAATGTACAAAGTTCCAGTTTATGGTTTGTGAAAGATGATCTGAGAAGAGGGGGTTTTTTAATATAAGCTATGCTGAGTGAATGAAAATAAGCATGATTATGATTTCTAGGAAAATGGTAAAGACATGTACATTTGCTGCTAAAGTTCTATCTCAGGCTTAGACTTGTTGGCCACCTACGTATGAGTACATTCTAATTTTCTGCCCCATCTTTAGTTATTTTTTATGTACATGGATATTTTGCCA